GAGGGAAACGGGACGGGGAAAAGTCGTCCCCGCAGGATCCTACTATCTCTATAAGAAAACATTGCTTTTCTCCATTCCAAAATATGCTACAATGTGGGAAAATGTTTGCTCTATTCATTTCAAGTTCATTCAGTTACAAAAAGAATCTATTATCACTCGAAATGTTTCATACAATTAGAAATATCGTACAGCAAGCCATGGTTCATCATTTTGTGTGATTTTTAGGCACGGCAAATTGATTGAATGTCAAACAGCCATATGTACCATTCTATGTAGATTTTTTTATTCTGATTCTGAATATGAACTCAAAAATATGAAAAAAATTGAACTACATGATAAAAATGACTGAAAATCCTAGAAATGATCATTTTCGAGCTTTTATTAGCTCAGTTAATACTTAAAAATCTCTTCGAATTTCAATTTGAATGTCATATTACAATTTAGCGGACAAAAGTGCATATAAATGATATGCTTCTGAGCATATATGAGGAGACAAATTGTTTTTGAGTCCTGGGAGAAGTCCAGGGGACAAAGACTTCACTTTGAAAATTTTCAAAATTAACGGGAGAATCTTTCGAAGTGATTCCCCGCTTTTGGGTTCATATGTTGGGGATATCGAGAGAATCTACATAGTAGAATAACCTCAAAAGGATATGGCCCCATGCCCTTTCTGTCTTGATATATTGAATTTTCAAGATCTTGAACAATATAGCGATTTTGTCTATATATCATATCACAAACGAAACCTACTACAACCTAAAAATTTTCTGATAAATTCATCTGATCGTCAGCATATTATTCTGAAGTGTTGTTCGACATTTAATTCATCTATGTATGCCATGATAATTTTTTCGTCAAACAAAGTACTGCTAGTGACACATTAGTCCAAAAGTGATAGATAAAAAGAAATGCGTATTACATACATTTTATCGTACTGTATTATGGCTTATCACAGAGACCGCGTTATGACTATCGTGGCATGTAGAAGTGGATTGTCATATATGCGATTTCAGCGAACATTTGTCGTATAATATTCCATTTTTCATTGCATGGTACAATCAGAATATTTACAACCAGCTATTCTTACCTCTACTCATGCCTATGATCAAGTATTCATGGTTTACAACAAGTTATGTCGATCAGCATCTAAAAGATTTCGAGCCCGTCAACAAAAATTGCTTTAATGTCGGTGATAACTTTTGCCAACAGTCGAACTGTCACTATCATAAATTACTTTGCTTCGAGCAGTTTTTTTTGAAGCTTATCACTATCACAGCTAAATATCTTCGATCGATCTGCTTGATCGCATAATTTCGAATATAACTAGTTGAACACAAAAAATTTCAATGGATTACCGCTGTGATTTATGAAAAAGACTGATATGGGTCATAAGAATTATACAGTTTATTAGGAAATTTTTAGCTTATAGTAGGTTTAGTTTGTGACATGATATATTGATCTATAATCAAAACTGCTATATTGTCCAGGATCTTGGAAGTTCAATGTCTCAAGACAGAAAGGGCATGGATCCATATCCTGTTGGGATTATTCTGCTATAGAGGTCCTCTTGATATCCCCAAAATATGAACTCAACAGCGGTGAATCACTTCGAAAGATTCCCTCGTAAACCGTAGAAAATACTTCTGGTGGCTCCTGACGCTTCTCAAATGCATAAAAGTGAACCAAAAATGGCCATACCGGAACCCGTCCTTTGTTAAATGTATTGCGCTATCAAATTAAATTTTTTTACTGCAAATAGGAATTAGAACTCATGCATTCAGTCATAAATAATGTATTTATTTACCAGTAGCTATCATTCAAATTAAGATACACAAGAACGCTATCGTTATCATCAAAAAAAGAAACAAATATATATATATATACATATACCGTACAACAATAACATGTATGTGGACTTTGCTGTTTCTCAAAACTACAATTGACTAGTTCGAGTCATTCAACAATACTTAAGAATAATTTTCTTGAGTAGTATCTAGCTATTTCGACTTTGTTTTTGTGTATTTCAATTAGTGGAAACATTAACACAAATATTATGTCATTTGCCTTGAGAAAATTGACAATATAATGAAAAAAGAAAAGAAAAGAATTCTGATATTAATGTTACAGGTGTTTCACAGTAAATATGTGGTAACATTAAAAGTACAGTTCCCTACTATAAAAAAATGATCATAACATAATGTGGATCACTTTTTTATAGTGAGAAAGACTAATTTTTATGTCATCATATCATACACGGAAACATAGGAAAACATCTGCTTAAGACATACGAATCATGTTTGAATTTCACAGGAATCAATTCAATCACGAAGAATATCTAATCAAAATTCTTTTGATCGTGCTGCAGCAGTAGGTGAACCATGAACTAAATAGACTCGAATTTAGTTCACTTCTGATGAGCGATATAAAGTGTGGCAAAAAATGCGCATCGATTTTGCATGCATTTCGTGAGGCGACATTAGGAATAGTTGATGAGAACGTCAGTAAAAAATATTATGTTAGAAATGTATTAAATCAGGAGGCATAATAACCTATATATTTTAGTTGCTCGAAAGAATCTAATATGATACATAATCTAAATCAATGATCTAGTTCGTATGCTGTTAAGATCAGTCGTTCACAATGAATTTCAGCATAAGTGCAGTAATGATTTCTCAGTTCAATTTTGATTTGATGACTTATGTGACCATAGAACATTGATTTCTAACTGCTTTTTGAATTTATTTGCAAGCAATCAAATAGTATCGTGTCTGGCTGATAATGAAATCAATGGAGTCTATCTTGTGCAATGATTGTGCAATGTTTTTTTCTCTGTTCTGTATGCTTATGACATACTTTGACAAGCAAGAAAAACATGTAATTTCATCATTTATTTTGTGAATATTTAACAATGGCGCATTCTACTAAAGATTCATAATAACCATGTTGCAACTTCAACGTCAACTAATTGATGAAGAACGTATCAGTCTCATTCCAAATATTTTATCTGCAGATGAATGTCAACAATTGATTGCACGAGCAGAAGAATCTGGTTTCAAATTAAGTCCTCCTTCAGGTAAAATAATGGCATGCGGGAAGACTTGTTGTTTTTCTCTTTGGATACTTATATCACCTTGGTGAATTTTTTATGCGTTGTAAATCAGAGAAATAATATATTCTGTGTAGTTCATTATGGCAGTTTCTGGTGAAAGATATTGTTGTTATTTACGAAAATAAATTTTCTCGGAGAAAAAATAATCATCAGAATGTGCCAATAGTTCTATATTTATAATGTGAACCAAAAGTTTCAATAAGATTATTCTAAACTTATTTATAAATCAAACAAATCATTATCTGTGACATGTATCAAAGCATCATTTTTCTTTTCGATAATTTTAGGCGGTGGTCATGGTCGTACACATCGTGAAGATGCTAGAAATAATGAATACACAGTGATCACTGATCAATCTGTAGCTGATAAATTATTTCAACGAGTATCACCGTTACTTCCTCAAACTTTAGAATGGATGGCAGATAATGCTTATTTTACTAAAGGTATTGGAGGACGTGAATGGTCAATGGTAGGTTGTGTTGATCGTTTACGTTTTTATAAGTATAAAAAAGATGAAGAATATCCTGAACATATGGATGGCAGTTATAGTCGTACAATAACATACAATAATGAATTACAACAATCATATAAACAACATTCATTTTTAACATTATTGATCTATCTAAATGATGAATTTCAAGGTGGTGAAACAAAATTTTATCCTGATAAACAACATTGTCGATTTCTTCGAGACATTGAAAATAAACAACCTGTTCATGTAATTAAACCAAAACAAGGAATGGCTTTGATAAATATTCATAGCATTCTTCATGAAGGATCAAAAGTCCAATCAGGTGTTAAATATGTCCTAAGAACAGATATCTTATATCAAAAACTAACGGAATCACATCGAAAGCTTGAAAAGTATTCACAAAAGAACAGTAACAATAATGGCAAAATCGTAGTTTCCGAATGGGAAAAACATTTTGAACCATCATGTAAAATGTATCATGATTAAAAGCTAAATAAAAATCAATCAGTATATGTCTGAAGCGACAGTATCATTTTTAAGTGTTAACTAGCAGGTTAACAATGGTTATGAAGCTTCACGTTACTATAAAAGACAAGAACACGTTGATGAGTATTTATTTATAATCTAATTGAAAACTCGTATGTTATCCAATATGTTCTAGAACTAAAAACATAGACAGAGTCATCATTGTTGTACCTATAAACTAAGGTACCAAGTAATGAAATATATTTTGGGTATGGATGTCATTATTCTCTACTCACTCACCCACCCCTATATGACAGTCTTAGTAAAAAAAAAGCGAATACTACTATGCTTTCATCCAAATAGCTGTGCGTTATATGCTCTAGTTGTTTTAACAAGAGTAATAAGGAACTTGCAGAATAATTAAAAAAATTGTAGACTTCTCAAATCCTTTTATTTCGCATACGAAAGAGGTGTGAGATAAATGTCAACGGAATATCTATACTGAAAATTGCAAATTTTCACTCTATACAATGCATTTCTCACAACATAGTATTTTCTACTGTTTCTCTAAGGACAAGGTATGGAAATTAATCTACTGAAGTGCAATAACTTATTTTATATCAATAACAATAAAGGCTAATAATCGAATCAAAGTATCAAAGACCATTAATAACTACTTTGAATTTTTATCCTATAGAACGAAATAAATAAACAAAAAATTGAGAAGAAGAAGCAAGAAAATAAATGTAGTCCTAGAGATTACTTTTGATAGTCATCACAAAAGACGTCATATTTAGGCAAATATTCTTCTTTTGGCAAACACAGAACAGAATAGGATGTAAAATTGATGCGTATAGCTAACACGAAATAGTTTTCTTATCATCAGAGGTAACGTGTAGCTAAACACATCTTATAAAGATGACTCAACAAATAAAACTCATCATATCTATTATTATGCTATCGATATTTGTATCCGGCTTTGTTTGTCAGCATGGTCATCGAATAATTCCACTTCGATTTGATACAGCTATTGATTATCTTCGACAATATGAACAATTTAGATCATCCCCACATAAGAATCATGTTCCATATGAAATTACACTGAATGATATGTTAATATATAGTCAAAACATATCATTTTCAAATAGTAATATATCTGTTTGTGAACAACATTTTATTGAATTAATTCAAGCAGCATCACATTATGATGCATGGGCACTTAAAATACTTGATTCATGGGGTAAACCGTTACCATCTGGTCTATTCAAAGGTAATATCTATTGGACAGGTAATTATGATGAATGTTTACAGCAAATGTATTTACCTATAAGTAAACCGTTCGTACAGCAATCATTCAATACTCAATATTGTAGGTGGACAATATATTTACAACAGAAAATAAAAGAAAAAAAAATGATATGATATATATTTTTTGTAGGTACTCTATTTCCAAATTCAACTATAAATCAAGGACAAACAATGGAAAATATAATTCTTGGTTTGTGTTTACTATCTTCATGTAATCGAGAAACTGTAATTTTATTAATTCAAAATCTATTCAAAACGAACAATATAACAAAAGATTGACTCGTTTGTTCGAATGAACAAATTAATCTAACACCTGGAGTTATTATCCTATGCACAATTATTTTATTGTTGTGTATTATTGTAATTATTGGTACGGTGATTGATTTAATTCTTTCGTATCATTCGAATTCAGTTCTTCGTGTGGATTTACCAATTACACAATGTAACAATACATTTGATGCCGATATACCCAAACGTAAGTCGATGACATTATCATATGATTCTCGCTTTTCGATACAAACTTTTATAAATAAAAGTTCAAAAATTACTTTTCTCGCCGAATTTTCACTTTTACATACACTCAAACAAATATTTTCTAAACGAAAAACATCGGATACAAGTTCATTCGATTTTTTAAATGGTATCCATGTACTTTCACTTGTTTGGATTATATTTGGTCATTCGGTTGCATTCAATCTCTTATATACAAGTAATTACATTGATGTTCTTATTTGGTTACGACACTTCATGTTTCAGTTAGTTCTTAGTGGCATTCTAAGTGTTAATATTTTTTTGTTCTCAGTGGTTTTTTTGACAGCGATTATCTTTGTTCGAGAAGTTAAAAAACATAAATTGTCATGTCGTTTCATGTTTCTCTATTATATTCATCGATATATTCGTTTGACACCAGCTTTTCTTCTTATTCTATTCATAAGTATTCATTTGACACCTTACTTCGGTCATGGACCTATGTATCCAATTCGAAAAGGTTTTGAAACTGATGGCTGTCGAAATTATTATTGATGGACATCAATACTCTACATTGGTAATTTAGTGCATCCGGATGAAGCATGTTTACCAATTTCATGGTATCTCTATAATGATATGCAATTTCATTGGATTGCACCATTCATTCTTATTCCATTTGTTATCGAACGAAAATTCGTAGCTTCCATCATTGCTGCTATCTTTGTTTTTATTAGTATAAGTTCAATTTTGGGTACTCTTATTTATTATCCGACAATATCGTTTGGTCCACTTCAAGGTATTGCAACTGAAGTAAGTTTTCTCAAAAAGATTTAAGTTTGAGGCAAGAAGGAAAATATTCATTCCATTGCTTTTTATCTTAGAACGATGGGCCGTCATTTTTTAAAAGTGTTTATGTTGCACCATGGTGTCGTATATCAGCGTATGCCATTGATCTAATGGTTGGTTTTCTTGTTACAATGTCAGTCGTACATATCGATTCAAACTTTCGACAAAAATCATTGGAAATCTTGTTGTGTCTTATTGCATTAACATGTATATTTTCTATGTATGCTGATGCTATTCTCGTACCGGGTCTCAATCGTTCATGGCTTGTAGTCTATCAAACACTTCCACATGCATGTTGGTCATTAGTGATCGGCTGGCTTATTTTTCTATGTAGTACAAATCAAGGTGGAATTATAAATACAATTCTATCATGGTCTATTTGGACACCACTGGCTAGATTAACTTATGGCACCTATCTTATTCATACAACCGTGATCAATGTCATTGTATTTAATCGAACTGTACCATTCTATTTTCAATCGTCTACTGTGATAAATGATTTTATGGCACAATGTTTTTAAACTTATCTTTGTGCTATAATAATTGTGGCCATTTTTGAAACACCATTCATTGTTCTTGAAAAGAAATTATTCAAATAGGACTTTTAACATATTTTTATGTTGCATAATTATTCACTTGAAATATGTATGTAGCAAGCTTCTAGTATAAGACATGGAAAATAAAATATTACTGTTAAGACAGATGACCTGTGAGCAAACGTTAACTATGGCTGTAATTATTATAGTGGGCTTACCTAGTGTACAACAAAAACTCTGTTTTTTTCTTCTTCTTTTATCGTTCTTGTAGAATGCTTTGTGAAGGAACATTCTCGTATATG